GTGGAATCGTTGGACGCGATGAGATGCCGGAGCTACACCTACCGGAGATTCCCGGTGCACACCCGGCCAAGGCCCAAACACCAAAGGAAAAGAAGCGGAAACGGAAAGACGAGGAGGTGCAGCCCAAGGCTATGATGGTTGACGATGATGGAGAGACAACGGTTGTCTCATCAGCAAAGGAGCTACAGGCGAGGATTGAAGCCCTTGCGTCGTTCCAGCTGACTCTTCTGCTTCATGCGATGAAGTTCCCGGCCGCCAAGAGGATCACATACTCCACGTGTTCTCTATACGCCGGTGAGAACGAGCATGTCGTCATCAAAGCGCTGGAGTCCGAGATCGCAAAAGAGCGAGGCTGGAGGATACTCAAAAGGGAAGACCAAGTGCGAGGAATGCGCGATTGGCCGGTCCGTGGTGATCTTGATGCAGCCAGCGCTAACGAAGAGGTCGCGGATGCTCTTATACGAGCGTACAAAGACGATGAGCACTGCGTCATGGGCTTCTTCGTCGCAGCTTTTGTTCGCGATCCTTCTGCAGCTGTCGACGAGGACGGGCCATATCTTCGGGACGATAAGGGCCGGATCATAAGGGACACCATGGGCATACCGACACTCAAAACCACGGGCAAGAAAGCTATTGAGGCCGATGAGATGTTTGGCTCCTATGACCAGGTTGTCATTGACCCGACGAAAGGTCTTGGGGATGGAGCAAAAGACGGCGATGGACCATATCTGCGCGACGAGAAGGGGCGGATTATCAGGGACTCAAACGGCATGCCTACACTCAAGCCTGGTTTATCGGGGAAGACCACCACAGACGGCGATAAACAGGACTCTGCGGATGAAGAGGATGACGATGATAGCTGGGACGGCATCGAAGATTAGGGAGCGATGCCGCGTTGTCCGGTTTTCGACACTCCGTCTGGCAGTCCTTATTCGACTACATGAGGTCGGGAACTTGAATGATTCTCGGTATTACTCGGACTTCCAATACGAACCTTCAGACACACTATATGGGTCGTCAACTACATCAGAATGAAGTGATCCATCGAGCACCTTCCAACTAGGGTCGAAGGTTTATCAGTCCTCGTCGGAATTGATAAGACCAAATCACATGTTATCCGGCTCTATCACGGCTATGAAGAACATCAAGAACGGAGCCGGATGCAGGATAGCTTTAGAACCGCCGCCACGTGGTGGATCCCGCTCTGCCCTACGAATGATCTACCCGGACATTGGCCGATCAGTGACATCACAAAAGCTCCATCGGACGAATACTGTGGTATCGAGTGTCAGATGAAGCAGCACCAGATCAGGCGATAGAGCGGAATCACGGCGTGTCACTTGGCCGCATATGCAACCACCGGCGATAATGTCAAATATCAGTTGCTTGTTTCCGTCCGGTCGATATTAGCAATTTGTCAGATTCTTCAGTTCAGAAGCTTGTGATCTCAAAAATGTCTTGACAGCGGAAACCCGCCGCGGGTGGGGGTCATTCGTCCTCGGTCAACCTCGAGTCAAACTTTTACTGTGCCAGATACTAGTTGGACTTGGCATGTACATACCACAGTACTCTCCATGCCCTCCCGGAGGTTTGGTGGAGGCTGATGAATACGCAGTTCGATACACTCTTCGGTGCAACTCTCGAGGAGTTAATGGACTTAAAGTCGATGCGACGAATACGGTCGAAGGCGGCCCATGGTGAACGGAATTCCGGTCCCCCGGTCTCCTTTTGTCAGCTTCCTCCTGTTGTATTACTATTCAATTATGCTGGCGAGTGCCAAGAAAATTTCCTACTGTGTACTGTGTAGGTACCTAAGGGTCTTCTAGCTGAGCCGAGGCTTGTCTCGCACGTTGGGTTCCCGTCCCAATCCCGGCGCTACCAAGTAGCCCGCACGTTTCCCGTCAGATCCTTCAAGCTTAATCGCCTGCCATGGCGAAATGACGGCGGTTCAATGTAGGGACATCCCGACCGGGACGCCGAGCTTCTTGCATAATTTGCAGCTTTGCATCGATCTCAAGTTGGGGGTCGCATCGGGCTACAGGGCGTCCGTCGTACCGGAAACGGCCCTGTCTAGCCACTCAGAGCTTCTTATGCATGACGCAGAGCCGCGGAGCTTGGCATTTGGCGGCAAGGCTTGCCTGTGCATAAGCTGTGCACAACTTCTTCGGGCCAGGATGTCGATAGCACACAGTAGTCATGGACCACAGGACGGAGCAAGGCCATTCCCGCAGTGGAGTCAGGTCGGAGAGCAGGAGAGAATTCTCTCCGTCCTTGTCGCGGCGAAGAGGGTATATAGGATGCCGGAGCCCCTTTGCCGTGTCTTGTGACGTTGTTGCTTCATGTTGTTTGGTTAGGAGACTGTCTTGAACCACCCGTACCGTAACGCTCTTTACTTCGACGCCACACGTTGGCTACAGGGCAAGCACAGAACGCCAACATGGCTTCATCAACACCACAATCGTCTGCTTCAACACTGGCAGTGGGTGAGATAGAACGAGATGTCGAGGCTCTGAAGGCCAGGCCGGAGCACATATCACACATGAAGCTGGTCTGGGACCAGGCCGGCATCACCAACTCGGTTCTCAACCACCAGTACCCCGGACATGGAACCGCCGAGTCACCATACCTCGTCGACTTCCTCCCGGAGGACGCGCATAATCCCCTTCTGTTCCCGGCGTGGAAGAAATGGATGATCACAGTGCTCCAGGCCATCGCCACGCTGGCGGTCGCCTTCGTGAGCACGGCTTTCTCTGGTGGGATCAAGGAGGTTATCATGACCTTCAAGATCGACACTGAGGTCGCCATCCTGGGTATATCGCTCTTCGTGCTCGGCTTTGCCATTGGTCCTCTGTTATGGGCACCCCTGAGTGGTATGTTCAACCCCTTTTTCGGTCTGTTACTGTGGACGTTTGACTAACCAAACTCTCCAGAGTTCTACGGCCGTCGGTTACTGTTCTTCATCACCTACGCCGCCCTCACAGCCTTCAACGCCGGCGCCGCTGGGGCCCAGAACATCTGGACCCTGATTATCCTCCGCTTCTTCGCCGGTTCCTTCGGATCCTCGCCCCTGACCAACTCAGGAGGCGTCATTGCCGACATGTTCCACGCCAATGAGCGCGGCCTCGCCGGTGCCGTCTTCGCCGTCGCCCCCTTCCTCGGGCCTTGTATCGGCCCCATCGTCGGCGGCTTCCTGGGCGAGGCCGAGGGTTGGCGCTGGGTCGAGGGCCTCATGGCCATCTTCACCGGTGTCGTTTGGATTGTCGTCACCGCCCTCGTCCCCGAGACCTACGCGCCCGTCCTCCTCCGCAAGCGCGCCGCCAAGCTTTCCAAGATCACGGGCAAGGTGTACATGTCCCGCGCCGACTTCGGCAACAAGAAGACCATGTCGGCCCAGTTCAAGGTCGCCCTGCAGCGGCCCTGGGTGCTCCTCTTCCGCGAGCCCATCGTCCTCCTGACGGGCATCTACATCGCCATCATCTACGGCACGCTCTACATGCTCTTCGCCGCCTTCCCCATTGTCTTCCAGCAGTACCGCGGGTGGAGCGCCGGCGTCGGCGGCCTCGCCTTCATCGGCGTCGCCGTCGGCATGATGATCGCCGTCGTCTACGCCGCCTTCGACAACAAGCGCTACCTGGCCGTCGCCCGCGCCCACGGCGGCGCCGCCCCGCCCGAGGCCCGCCTCCCGCCCGCCATCCTCGGCTCCGTGCTCCTCCCCGTCGGCCTCTTCTGGTTCGCCTGGACGTGCCAGCCCAGCATCCACTGGGTCGTGCCCATCATCGCTTCGGGCTTCTTCGCCTGCGGCCTCGTCCTCGTCTTCCTCTCGCTACTCAACTACCTCATCGACAGCTACGTCCTCTACGCCGCCTCCGTCCTCGCCGCCAACGCCGTGCTCCGCTCCCTCTTCGGCGCCGCCTTCCCCTTGTTTACGACGTACATGTACCGCAACCTCGGCCTGCACTGGGCGAGCAGCATCCCCGCCTTCCTGGCGCTGGCTTGCATGCCTTTCCCTTACCTGTTCTGGAAGTACGGCGGGCAGATCAGGATGAAGTGCAAGTTCGCCGCCGAGGCGGCGCGGACGCTGGAGATGATGAGGGCGCACCACGCCGCCCAGGCCTCGCCCGCCGCCGCGCAGCAGCAACAGCAGGAGAAGTCGGCTGCTGCTTCCGCTGGGGGCGGTGTGGTCAGCGATGACGAGACCGTCGCTGGCTATGGCACCAGTGACGACGATACTGCCGCTGAGGAGTCGAGGCCTGTGACGGCGAATGAGAAGGATGAGAAGAAGCTATAGGCTATCTCTCTGTCTCTGTCTCTACTCTGTCTCTGTCTCTACTCTGTCTCTGTCTCTACTCTGTCTCTGTCTCTACAAGGGGTTGTTGGTTTTTTCTTTCATTATCAAAACAGTGATGGGTATGGGTTTACGATCTTTTCCATTTGGAACAGTCTCCTATCTAGTTTGACTGGGTTTGCATCAAGCGGCGTTTTATACCTTTTGCTTTTTGGCATGATGGATGGTTGGGATAGATAATAGATGGATAGATGGAAGATAGATAATACTTAATGGCAACATATCATCGCTACTCCCTTTTACATCTGCAAGGTTTGTCACTCTTCTCGAGGCCACATCACCACTCCCGAGAACAATCTCAGCAACGCCATTCCGTTGTTGACTCAGTAACAGCATCACATGCCAACAATGCGATTTTCCTTCCACAACAAAACATCCATCATCTCAATCTTCTCATAGATTCATGCACAACACTCTCCACAGTGGACTTCTCCATTCTCAGCCATGACTCATCCCTAATATCCTAACCCACAACCAAACCCACACCGTCCATGCGAGGTCGGTCCCAATTGTCCGAATCAGCCGCTGAGCGACTCATTCAGTCATGACTCTTGTTGTCCCCAGTCAGTGCGTGATTCCATTTCTTTGCGTCCTCTTTAACCACTCGTACGGCTCCAGTGTTGCATCGAAAAGCATGATTGCACAAAAAGCAACATCCGGTATAGTGTAACGGTCAACATATCGCGTTTTCATAAGGACTCCTTAGAGCTTCTGAAGCATCCGCGGGGCTCGGGGTTCGATTCCCCGTACCGGAGTAATGACTTGATCTCATGATCGTATTCTTTTTGCTTTTTACTTTCTGGTGTTGGCCTTCTGGTTGTACGAAGAGTAGGTTTGCTCAGCAAATGAGCTAGGAGAGAGGTGCCATGATTCACTTTTGGCCGAAATAAGAGAAGCCGGAGGGAATTAGTGATTTATATATCTCCGTCACAGCTTCAAGAAGGTCCCGTATATAAGAAAAAGAGAGGTCAGCATCGCAATCACAACACGTCAGGTCGAGATCCTCTCTCTTGCTTCTGCACAAAAAACAATACTACCTGTGACCAAGAGAACAGAGTCCTGGAACAAGCAAGATATAAAAAGCCCCTCCGCCCATAGTAAGGGGAGAGGAGACGTAAAAAAAAATGGGGGAAACTTGCCCGGACCAGAGGGACTCGAACCCCTGAGCTGCGGTCTTATCATTCCGCCGTGTTAAACCAGTTACACCAGTCCAGGTGACGTAACAGCACGGGAAAGGGAACCATATAACCAACCCAGTGCAGAGTCTATGACGGATAGATGGGATGTCACGGACATCTCTGGCGTGCGTCTGAATTATATCATCCGATGAGAAAGTGCCGGGATGAAGTTGGCCGATGTAGCTCTCACTGGGGCCACGCTCCCCTGGTGTTGTTATCTGGTTGACACTGTTAATCAGCAGCCTTATGCATGCGTAATATGCAACTTGTTTGGGCTTCACTTCCCCTTTTGATGGAGGAGTTTCCCCTGTGTTGTTGGTGTTGAAGGGGTGTTGAAACTGGAAGCACCGGGATGTCCCACGACGACATATCACACATCCAGTGTTCAGTTTGTATCGAGCAGGATTATATGTTACGAGTTCAGACCGCTTTCATGCATAAGCATACATCAAATGTACAGCACCAGAACACAACCCCGTACATCACCCAGTCTCTAACCACCACCAATCAACTGTCCCTCCCCAGCCCCCTCCTGCTCCCCCGTCCCAGCCTGCTTGTGCTTCGTGATCTCAAAGAACTCCGTCAGCCCCTTCACCACCTCGTCGACGTTCATGTTGATCAGCGGCACCTTGTCGTACGAGCCTTCCTTCATGATGGCCACGAGCGCCAAAAACCTGTCCACCTCGCGCAGCATAATCGGCCGCTGCGCATCGGAGAGCACCATGCCGCTCTCGGCCAGGTCGCAGCCGATCTGGTCGTCGAGCTTCTTCGGCCAGGGGGCCTGCTCCAGGCCCTCCTTCCAGCCGGGCCCGCGCTTCCAGCTGCCGTACACCTCGGTGAAGTCGATGATGACGTCCACGTAGTCGGAGCAGATCTCGTAGCTCGCCACGTCCTCCGGCGAGCTGTCGGTGGCGATGTAGATCTTGGTGTTGACGTCGAACAGGTAGGCCTTGTCGAACCGGCACGTCCGGCACAGAGAGGTGAGCATGGCCTCGAGCTGGCCGAGGCGGGGGATCAGCTTCTGGATGACCTTGCTGAAGGCCTCGAAGATGCTGTGGTTGTAGATGCTCGTCAGGTGGAAGCTGATCATGGCGTTCTCCAGCCCCTGGTCCGACAGTTCGTCCTGGATCCGGATCGTGACGTCGCGCTGGATGTCCATCTTGTAGTCGTCCGAGAGGCCGTCGACCTTGTGGATGAAGACCTCGATGACGATGTGCGGGTAGCTGCGCTGGAGGTGGAGGATGGTCGAGTTGAGCCGCGCGACGGCCTCGAGGTAGTCGTCCTGCGCGTCGATGACCCAGATCAGGGCGCCGACCTCGCCGAAGATGGCGTCCATGTCGAAGGTGAAGTTGGGGTTGTCGAAGATGTCAATCTGGCCGGGGAAGTCCCAGACTTGGAAGTCCATGAATGAGCTGCGTCAGGTGTTAGCGTGCTGCTTAGGACATAAGGTCATTAGTTGCTTACTTTAGGCTGTCCTTCTGTATCCTAGCTGTGGATTCGAGAAATAGCGTCTCATTTGGTGGGAGCTTGTGGAAGACCACGCTCGATATGGATGACTTGCCACTCCTGTAAGACTATGTTAGGACATGGAACAGAATGGTCGGGTGTAGTCGTACGTACCTCCGCTGGCCCATCAATAACAGACGAGGTTTGCCCTTCGCCAAAGGAGTAGCGGCGGCTGCTGGCCCCTTGACTCCATCTTTCTTATGTTGTAGTTGTCGATTCTGCTCGAAGATATGGTTTAGCCTTGCGGTCGCAGGACTGGTGTACAAGCCTCGGCGACGAGGTGAAGAGTTGAGGTCCGCACTAGCGGCCGTGCTATTGCATCTTGACAGTGAGGAAGCCATGCTGAGATCCAATGCTCTCGAGCATTTCTGTGCTCGGCAGAGAGACGCTTGATATAGACCTGGCTTGTTATGAAAGCATAACGACGGACCGCGATAGTGTGGGACACGGGATCAGCTGGCTTCATGCTTGGCGCCTCCATAGCACTTGGGAGGAGAAATGCCACGTCATAGCAGGTTTGCGCGAGAGTCAGGGCCGTGGGAAGTCGGCGCAGCTCTTTGTTGGTGCTTTGGAAACTTTCCCACAAGATTGGCTGTGGTCCGCGTGGCTCAGGGTGCGCAAAGATCTCTGTCAGACAGGGGAAGTTCAGGTCCTACACGGACAGACACGTGAAAGACAGTGGACAGCCGACGCAGCCCTCCGTGAGGCTATAAACCCATGGCGTCTGGAAGGAGTGGTTGCGCATACCAGCCACATGACCGCGAAGCAACGTCAACCTCGAGGTACACAAGAGCTATAGGCCAACGTCGCTCGGAAGTGACTCAGTCTGAAGCTCTGTCTCCTTGATCCCGGACAAGTAGCTTGGGCCATCAACTGCCACGAGGCCGATAAGTGTCGGCGACCAACAGTCGGCAGGGAGGTTGAAGGAGGCACGCCATTGGTGTCGTGGCGAGCGGTGCTGATCCAACGGTGTTGCAAGCGTGGCAGAACCAGGAACTAGATATTGATCTTGTGGAGCTTTCCGGACTGCAGAAGTCATTCGTGATAGGGTAACTGGGAAGTGACAAAGGCACCGAGGGCATCCAGGGGGGGACGGGTAGAGATCTAACAAAGGCCACTGGAGTAACAGGTGGTTGGAAACTCACATCCATATTTGATGTAAATGTAAACCCTCGCTTCGTGTCGAGGTTCCAGGGGCGGAGTTTGCAATCGAGCTTGGGCTTGAGACGCCCAGCTCACGGCCAGGTAGGAGAGCACCGATAGACCCAGGTCCAGACTAGATCGAGTGTTGACCAAGGGAGCTCAATTGACTTGGTGACCGTGCTGCCCTGCTTGCAGGTCTCGGATGGCAGGACGTTGATGAGGCTGGTCCAGGCAAGGGTTCAAAGTGGAGGCTGGTAGTGGATTGTAATGCGGAAGCGCTGTCTGAGACGAATAGGAGGTCCTACCAGGTGAGGTTTGGCAAAGAAGACTGTAAATGAGGATCACTATCACAGTCGAATGGATACTGGTGCGTGAGTATGTGTAATTGATGAGGTGTTGAGAGGTCGACGCACGATAACAGGCACGCACTTGACCTACCTCGGCGCTCCACTTTCCGCTCGGTGAGGGACTTTCACCTGAGTGGCGTGCACGGACCATATATGCTGACCTTGCGGTCTACGAAGTATTCCACCTACGAAGTACTAACAGTATTCCACTGTTAACGTATGGGAAACCGTTACCACAGTAAGCAGAACATTCCTCTTCCAAGAAGTCTTTCTTTTCTAACATGACAATGCCGGCATAGACAATGTCAGAGATACTTAGTTAAAGCCTCGTCTGAATTAGACACCATAACAAGACGGCGAAACCCAGATCAACCAAGATAAAGGTAAGTTCCTTATCGTCTAAGCCCTCCACCAGCCCGGTATCTTACGTTCACGTTCGCTGTCCCCGTCATTTGTATCCCGTCAGCTTTATGCCCCCGAAGCCATTAAACTCCCCCAGTTCCAAGAATGAATTGGTATAAGTGCATTGGAGTTACCATCACATCCCAGCCAACGGTTGAGGAGACATACATACCTTATACACCATTGTCACCGACAACTAGTCTTAAGCTCTCACACGTTCAGACACAGAAGGCAATATTGACAACACTTGGGCTGAGCCGCATCAGCACTCATCTCAATTCATCTATCTAAACAAAAACCTCCTCAACCCCCATAGAAAGCAAAGAAGCGTGCCCACCTCATCCAAGGGAGCCGCCGTCAGCAAGCGAGGCACACGAAGCCCATCCCGCCGCCCAAAACAGAAAAGAAAAGAAAAAAAGTGAAAGCTGATAGCTTATACATGTATTTTGAAGTGAAGTTTGTTGTAGTATCCAACCATGTACCCCAACCATGAAGGTATGGCCGAGGTATTTCGTAAAGGTCATCAGAAAGAATGGTGTTCTCCAACCTGAACCCTTGTGTCATGCGCCGTTTTGTATCCGGTGCCCCTTCCGGTCTTTTCCCATCCCGACCATGAAGAAACGAAAAGATGAAGTTTAACACCAGGGTGAAGTAAAACATCTCCCACACCAAGCAAAAAAAGGGTGCAGGTGCGGAAACATCCCCTTTACTCGTCCACCTATCTCCGACGAGCAGACGGTCCCCTCCGGTGCAAAGCAAGGTGGTTGTGCGCATGCCTCTTGACCTTGCTAACCACCTTCGCCGTGCCATCGACCGAGTAAACGCTCAGCGCCCACCCACCGCCGCAAGTCTCTTTCGTCTCGCCCTCGCAGGGCATGTCGCACTCGCTCTCGTCGATCGGCTCCGACCCCGTCAGCGAGTTACCGCAGTAGCACTGCCCGCCGTACTCCGTGCCCGCGAGGCTGAAGCCTTTGCTCTTGCAGTGCTCGACGCAGAGGGTGTTGGTCACCTCGCCCAGGTTGGGGCGGATGTCACCTGCTAGCGCGCGGTCGCGGGAGTCCTTGAAGCAGCCGGCGTATTTGTACCCCGAGATGTCCGGGAGGGTGGAGGTCGTGCCGTTGGCAAGTTCCGGGGTGGAGGTAGGAGATGGGGCAGAGCCCGGGGTTACGGTAGTGGTGGACCATTCGGTGACGGTCTCCCAGACTGTGGAGGTGCTGTCGCTGCTGGTTGGGGCGGGAGCGCCAGCGGCAGAGGAGTCTGCGGCCTTGGTGGTGTCGGGAGCTGGGGGGGCGGGAGCAGGGGCGGAGGCTGCGGGGGAGTCGGCCGGGACGGCGGCAGCAGAGGTGGCTGGGGCCTTGACGTTGTTGATGGCCGTTGTCTTGGAGGAGGCGGCCTTGGAAGAAGAGGGGGCAGCAGCGGCAGGGGAAGAGGAGCCGGAAGAAGGAGCGGCGGCAGGAACGTTCATGACGGGGGCGGACCCGACGCCCCATCCTGAAACGGGGTTGTCGCCGGGCAGCTTGGTCAGTATTCCGTCGATCTTCTCGTTGACTGGGGACGGGATCTCGCACTTGGGCGCGTCTTTGTTGAGGCCGCCGATGAGGCCGGGGCACTTGTCCATGCCCGAGGAGCCGGCGTCGCA